TATTCAGGGAAACTACAGTGTCTTTTAGGATTTATGTCTGAAATGATGTGTGTGATGATCATTTGGGAAGTAATAGAGCACACTCACCTGTAATCTTACAATAAATACCAGAGTAACATTCCATTCTTATAAAGAACTTCAATGGAAAATAACATAATATGAAATCAAAACATGCTATATACAGTTTTCCCATAGTTAATCTTGCAATAGGCCCTTTGATAGTTTTGCGACCTACATTTCAGCATTATGCTGAATAAGTTTTGGAGGAAAATAGTTGTCATACTCAACTTTGTATCTATAGTACCTAGCCCAGGACCAGTCACATAGAAATAATTCATCCAGTATTTGTGAAGTGATTATGACCACACTTAGCTGATCAACTATCAAAAAGGAATGACTCAGGGTAGGTTTTGAGGGATGGGAGCTAGAATTAATGGTTGGCTGCAAGATCTGGTGAATTTAAAGTGGGGAAAGTAAGTAGGAATTAGGCTCATGAGTCCTGCTTTCTCTCCAAGTGTTTTAATCATAGAGTGCAGTTCTTTTTATGCCTTACTGGAGTGAAATAGTAAGGACAAGTACTTTGTTTTGTTTACCACTAGACCTCCATAACCACACAGGACCTGGTATACAATATAAAATAAAGTAAATGCTTTGGAATAGGACAAGAATTGAATATGGAAACTTGGAGATGTAATAAATAGTCAGTGAATATAGCTGCCAAATGCCATCCCAAGGAAAGGTGGTGTCATAAAGACTTTATGATGTACCCTCACCCACCTCATTCACTGGATCTGAAACTGGGCAACTTCTGAGTCTTCCCCAAAGTTAAAATGACTGTGAGAGATAAACATTTTGAGTCAATTCAGGACACCAAGGCAGCCATGATAGTGCAACTACAGACGAGAAAGACTTTCAGAACTCATTTGCAAGTGGCAAGAATGCCAGGATGAGTGTGTTTGAAGTTAGGGGTGTGTTCTGAGGGAGATGAATAGCAATGTGTCTTTTACTACAGTGACTTCTTTAAACATCTTTTATATCACATCTTATAATTTGATAGTGCAGAGACTAGTTTTCTGAAGGAGGCAGGTATTCGGATTACTGTGGTTATTCTGGCAGTGGTAACAGGCTACATAATATACTCAGAGAACTGCAAATCTCCATTAGAGTAAGACATACTAAGGATGGGCCATTTATGAACCAGTTTAATGTTTTGACATTCCTTTTCCCAGTCTCAGTAGTTTTTTTTTTTTTTTTTTTTAATTTAAGGCGAAAAAGAAAAAAAAAGGTACAAATTACACAGAATTTCAGAAAAAATGAACGGTAGGAAATCACTAGTTAATAGATTACATATTGTCATCTTAGAAATCGTTGTTCAAGTTACAAAATTAAAGCCTATAAAGTGAACTTTCAAACAGTGAGACTGCAAACAGTTCTGTTCAATGATCCAACAAAACTCAGTAATATGGTCATCTATCTTATACACTTAAATATACATGCAGGTATATCATTTAGATTACTTTCTTTTCCTCTCTTTTTTATAATGACAATTACACATTTTGGGTTTTATTACTCCCACAGTTCTTATTACTTTTTTTTTGAAGAGAGTAAAGCCAAATGCGACATAACAGAACACAGTCAGTCAAATCAAAAGGATGGGCATAATACATAATGTAAAAACAAAATACAAGGTGATCAACAATGGTTACAATAATGCCTCTTGCTATCTTAAAAAGAATTGCATATATCATCAGTTATAATAAAATTGAACAAAACAGTAAAGAACAAAACCAATAAAACCAAAACACTGGAGACATTACAGGACTTCATAAGAAGATAATAGTCAACCAGAATGGGCGTCATAATGAATCTTATTGTCTTCACAGTTGTTGCCTATACTTTCAAACTTGGTACTATCAAGCAAAACAGAATAGAGGAAAATCAGTCAAAACAAGATGGTGAGAGCAATACAGGGTTTCAAATCAAGTTAATAGGAAATTAAAGTGGGTTTCTATAATATATCCTGCTATTTTTTATTTATTTTCCCTTAATTAAAAAGATAAAGTAAATAATTAAAAAAGGAAATTGAGATAAAAGAGGGCATAACAACAAAACAGCACAGGTCAAAACATAATCATTTAAGCAAAATAGTGTTTCACCACAAGATATCTCAACATAAAAGTAGTTACCATAATGTCTCTTTCCTTCAAATCTTTGAGTATAACTTCATATACTCTAGCATCAAACATATCAAGACAATGTAAAACCATTGAAGAGAATGACAGTATTACAGGGTATTTAGAATCAACTAACAGAAAATGAACAATGGTTTCTGTATAATCTCCTTGTCTATAAAAGTTTTTATTTATATTATCACATATAATGAAATCCAATAAGATACAACATGTTAAGACCAATGGAGACAGAAGAACAAAAGCTTGATGGGACTTCAAAACAAGATGATACTAAATCAGCACTAGCTATTATGATGTCTTGTTTTCTCCAAAATAGCTGTTCCTACCATCCAACCTTCTCTGCCTCATTTCTGTTGAGCTCTTTTTCTGTCATTAGTTGTCAGTTTGTCGTCTTCATTTCTCTTTCTGCTCCATTCATTGTGGCCTCTGTTTCTGCCACTGTTTCTGGAATCTCGGTATTTTTCTTTTTTAGAATATCCTGTAGTATTCTCTGTAGAGTTGAATTGGTGGTTGCAAATTCCCCTAGTTCCTCTTCATCCTGGAAGCACCTTGTTTTTCCATCAATTTCTAGGGACACTTGTGCAAGATATATCAATTTTGGCTGGAGGTTATTATCTTTCAAAGCTTGAATTATTTCTCCCCACACTCTTTGTGATTTGATGGTTTGTGCTGAGAAGTCTGCTGTAATTCTGATGGGTGTTCCCTTGTAAGTGATCTGTTTCTTGTCTCTAACAGCCTTTAATATTCTGTTCTTATATTGAATTTCTGGAATTTTGATTATTATATGCCTGAGTGTTGTTCTGTTTGGGTTGTAGGTGGCTGGGGTCCTGTATGCCTCATACATCTGAGTATCTCTACCTTTTGCTAAATTAGGGAAATTCTCCTGGATTATTTCTGTGAATAGCCTTTGTAGTTCATTTGTTTGTGTCCCTACCTCTTCTTTTACGTTCTTAATTCTTAAGTTATAGACCCTCTTATCATCGTCTAGTCTTTGTATTATTGCTGTTTGTTTCTTTGTTATTTTTAAGAAGTTTTTCATTTCATGCTCCCATATTACAAATCTGCCCTCCAGTTCAGATAATCTATGCTTAGTTTCTTTTAAGCTGTTATGCCAGCTTTCAATAGAGTTTTTAGTTTCCTGGTAATCGCTTTGAATCTGCTTCACATATTCTATGTTTTCTCTATTTTCTCCATCAAGCAATTCTCCCCTTTTTTTTCTGTTCTTCCATTCTACCATCTGTTTTTTCTTGGGCGGTGCTTAGCATTTCTCTAACTATTCTATTTATATCTTGCTTTATTTCATTAAATACTTCACTTTTGAACTCATCTATGAGGCTCCGGAGATATCACTTTATGTCTATTGGTGTTGTGTCTGATATTGCATGTTTTCTGTCCTCATTCTCCTTTGCATTTACCTTTCCTGTATCAGTGTTCTCAGGATTGGGAACTGAGGACCCTTTCTTGTTGCTCCCTCTTCCCATACTTTTTGTTCCTTCCACATAAGCGTATATAGGAGGCCCAGTTTTTTTCTTTGTTGGTTACAGTTTGTTTGAATCTGCCGGCTAGGTGTTCCCGCCTACTGCCATGTACTAGGGAGACACAGACCTGGGCAGCCTCTGCTGGGCCTACCCCTCCAGGTCAACCTAGTGAAGGCTCCACTGCTAGGGTGCACCGCCAGGCGCTGGGTTCTGGTTTGGGTAGCCTTCTGGGTCTTAGTCTGCGGCTTCACCCAGACCAAGCACTCTACACCAATCCCACTTGAGAGGGGAATATGCGACTAAAGTCACTGCAGCATCCTATTCTGGCTAGTCTACCCGGTCCCAGAATGTCCTCTTTTGGAGACTCCTAGTCTATAGAAGGGTCCCCGTTCCTCTCACTCACCGCAAGTCGATGCAGGGCATCCTGCCAGTTCCGCTCTCAGCTCTGTTCACTGATTCCCGCTCTCAGAGCTCTCGCGTCTCTTTCCTTGCTCTGCCAATTGGGACACAGCAGCAGCAGCAGGAAATTAAAATCACAGCTTCCAGAGGTGCGGGTTCCAGCTTCTGTGCTGAGATTTTATCTGTTCCGGTTATAGCACCGGGATTGCATTTCCAGTTGGTTTCTCTCAGCTTAGTTCGTTCCTGTGGGTCGGCAGGGTTTATCTCCCCTTGCTTAGGTCTCCTCACATCGCACCATTCCTGGATTCTAAGCTGGGTATCTCAGAGAGCCTCCGTAGCTGCTGTTATCTATGTGCCATGTTCTCCCCTCAGCAGTTTCTTTTTAATGTATTGCTAGTATGATGGGAGTTTTAAAAAATGAATATAGTGATGTATTCCAAGGACCATAGAATTTATTTTTGCTGCATGCCTCAATTATTATAATTGTTTTAATTTAAAATACTATTTAAATAATTTAATAATTGAGATATTATTAAATTACTCATTAACTATTTTATTGCAGATACTGATATTCATATGATTCCTCACCAGAACTGTGAACTTCTTTGTTTTTTTTGTCATTTCTGAATCTTCAGTATCTAACAGTAGCTCAATAAATGTTGAAAAATGACATTTAACATTAGTAGTCTAGTAACTGAAACATACTTGTCATATTTACTCTTTAGAAAACTGTTTAGGTTTTAAACAAGTGAGCTTGCAATTTTGTGAATTTAAGATTATCCTTGAGTAAGGAAAAAATCATTAAATACTGCAGAAAAATTGAGAATTTCAAAAAATTTACTCACTAGGACATTAACAGCTTAAGAGAAAAATACAGAATTTGATCAACTATGTTTACTTTGAAATGTCTAATTATTCCTATGATTTGTAGACATATGAGGAAGATAGAAGAAACTACTCTGAACTTCAAATTAGATGTCAACGTTTGGCCTTAGAATTAGCAGATACAAAACAGTTAATTCAGCAGGGTGACTACCGTCAAGAGAATTATGATAAAGTCAAGAGGTAAGTAAGGATGGCTCTAGTTCCCTGTATAGTATGTGTCAAAATCATTGAATTCTTACCATCAGAATCATTAATTCTCCTCTTACTTTTTTCTTCATTTCATAAAAGCATGTATGTTTGGCAATTTTTTGGGTCTAAGTTATATTTTTATATTAGATCTTTGGATTTTATTTAAAAGTTGCTGTTCTCTAGTAAAAATAGAAAATGTGTAAATATTTTCAAAATGTTATTCGATGATTTTATGTATAGAATCAATTTAAATACAGCTGAATGAAAGATACTCTTTAGTGGGAAAAAAATACTATGTAAGGCTGTGATAATGTATTACTCCTAAGTAAGTATAACAAATACATTCCTTTAAGTAACTTCAGTATACTACAGTGTATTCAGTTGTTTATGCAGTAATTTAATGAACGTTTAACCTATATATTTCTAAGTAAATCGCTTCATTTTAAGTTTTCTCATTTATGAGATGGTACTCATATAAATTCCCGTATTATATAAACTAAGTAAATATAGAAACCTTCATGAAAATTTATATATGTTTATAAATTATATATGTATATATAGTAAGTGACTTTATCCTAAATATTTATTGCTGAATCTGCTTTCCTGCAGTATTTCTTAGAATATAGTATCAGACAGTTAATGCAGGTTAAATAGATACTTTAAATTGTAAAATTTAAGTTATAAATTTATATAATAAGTGAATTTGCAAAGATTTGGCTGTTCAGTGTCCACCTTTCAGTGCCCCCTCTGACATGTGGTACACATTAGGTATATATTATTATTTCAAAATATAGTAATTATTGGAACTTAAAATCTATAAGAATGTACTCAGTGAATTCCTGAATAAAGCTGATGTCAAGCATTTTCTGTACTGCAAACATACTAAGAAAAATCAGGGAAAAAAGCATTTTCAAATACTAGCTTATGGCGGTGACATGATCCTTCCAAGTTGATATTTTGATGTCCTTCCAGGGTAAGTCTGTAGCAGTGACAGATGAAGTGTAAAAAGGATAGTGTATTCAGAGGGGCCATGCGTGAAAGACGTATGAAATGAGATGAGTCATTTGTTGATGATAGCAGCTGGGTGATAGAAACATGGGTGTTCATTATATCATTTCTATTTTTATACGTGTTTTCATTTTCTATAATAAAACCTCGGAAAGGAAAGTAGGACCTTGATCAGAAAACATTGTAAGCTGGGTTAAGTCGTGTACAGCTGCAATCCTACTGCTTGGGAGGCTGATGCAGGAGGATTGCTGCAAATTCAGTGCCAGCCTGGGCTACATAGCAAGACCCTGTCTCAAAAGGACTTAAAAAAAAACAAAAAAAAAAAAAGCAAACAAAATTAAAAAAAAAAAAAAAAGAAGAAGCACGTAATAATCATTTTCATGTGTTAGAAAGGGAACAGAGAAACAAGCAAGAGGCACTCATACTGTGAACCTTTTGGTTTACTGCAGAGTAGATGGGTTTCAAAAATGTAAGGTAAAAAATACTCCCACCTGGGTATAGGTGGATGTGCCCTTGATAAATTCTCATAAATGTACAAAAAGAAGCAACTATAGGTTACTAATTGCATCATTATTAGAAAGAATGCTTTTGTTTGTTTTTGTTTTTTGAGATAGGGTCTTACTGTGTATGTAGCCCAGGCTGGCCTCAAATTTGCAGCAATCTTTCTACCTCAGCCTCCCGAGTCCAGTATTACAGGCATGTGCCACTATGCCAGGCTTTAAATGCTTTTGAGTAGCAGAATAAAAAGTCAATTGTGGTTTATTTTTGTAATGTAATTTGTAATATAATTTTTGTAATATAATTCTAAAATATGGCAGTTAAAATCATTAAATTACATCTGAGTCTTTTTTCGTAATGCCTTACCTTCTAGTGTAACATAATATTCTTGGTTTTGTTTTGTAAATCAGTTGCTTCAGCTCTTTTTCTAAGGCATTTTGATCTGTTTCAGTGAAAAATACGATTTAGAAATTAAGGAGGTTTGAAAGTGGAAATCCAAACTGTTCAGGCATAGTGTCTGCTGAGCAGTGTGGTAAGTGCTGAGTTGCAAGGGATTTTTGACTCTCACTGAACTGAGCTATGTATAAATGCTTTAAAAACTTTAACTTCAAGGTAAAACTGAAGATGATTTGTGAAAAAAAGATAATTGTATGCCTAGAAAGTTTCATTGTGTATCTTTTTAGATTACCAGTCAGTGTAAGTTACTTTTTTTTTTTCCTTTTGATGGTACTAGAAGGACTTCACATTATACTGAGCTACATCCCCAGCCTTTCTTTTTGATGAAAGCAGCTCTTCCTAACTTGCCCATCCTGGGCTCAGACTTGATCCTCCTGCCTCTGCCTCCCAGAGTGCTGGGATTACAGGTGTGTTCCACCATACTGGCTATATTTTTTAAAGGTAATAAATTGATATTTGATTATCTGAACAAAGTTTTGAACAGAGTCCCTTCTAAATTTGAAAAGTAGATCTTTCACAGTTCATAAAATGATTCCAGATCTTCTCTGCCTTTCTGTTCAATTTCCTGATACATAGTCACATCTTTTAAAATGTTCCCTTTAAAAGAAGATGTAGAATTTATACAAATATTTGAATGTTGCTTTAATAGTGAACGTGATGTACTTGAACAAGAAGTCCTTGAGCTTAGGAGAAAACATGAAATACTTGAAGCCTCTCACATAACTCAAGCTAAAGAAAGAAGTGAATTATCAAAAGAGGTAAGCTTATAGAGCCATTTTATTTTATTGTATGATAGTAATGGAAAATAGCATAAGGCAAAACTGTGGGATAGACATTTTGCCTTTATGATGTAGTTGCTGGGGAAAAAACTTTTAGTAGTTCTTGTGGGATAGACAATTGCAAGGTGGGATTTTGCTTGCCTTTTAAAGAGAAGGTTTTGTGTGGTGAGTTAACAGCATGATGGAAGAAGCTAACAGTGGCTGCTGTGAAGAGGAAGACATCTTCCTCCTTTCCTCCTTCCTTCTGGACGCTGCTCTGTCCTTCCACAGGTGGCTACCTTACAGCAGACCGTTACTTTGCTACAAAAGGATAAAGAATATCTCAATCGCCAGAACATGGAGCTCAATGTGCGCTGTGCCCATGAAGAGGATCGCCTTGAAAGGCTTCAGCTTCAACTCGAAGAGACCAAAAAGGCCCGAGAGGAGATGTATGAAAAATACGTGACATCCAGGCAAGATTTACAATATTTTCTACATAAATTAACAACTTTTTTTAGGGAATTGCTGGTTTGAGGGAAAGATGATTCCTTAAGGTCTCCATATGATGATATTAAGTAATACTTCATTTCCTTATATTCTTTTCTAGTCTAAGACAATTTGATTTTCCTAATAACATCAAAAGGCCCTATTTCTTTTAGGCACAATCTTTTTAGTTGCCTATAACTAATTCTATAAGTGATTTTGGAAAGAAGGTATGTAAGTATCTCTATAGATGTGTCATTTTTAATAAAATCAAGTATGCTGACGTTTTCCTGACTGGACCATAGAAGAATGAGGCACTAGTGGATGTTATTTTCAACTCTTACATTCTCTCTCCTTTTATATATGTGTAAGCTGATAGAGTTCCTTTAGAATCTATCAAAAGCTAAAACAAGAGAGGCTGAAGCAGGAGGATCATGAGTTTGAAGCCAGCCAGGACTACATAGTGAGACCCTTTTTCAAAACAACCGCAACAAAAAAAACCTAAAACAAAATTGAAATTATTCATAACTTTTTTCTGGCCTTAGTATGTTGTCTTCAGTGTGTAGTATACTTGCTGATATAGCTGTCGTTGCAAGTATTATTATAAAGTCAGACTTATTTTTTAAAAATGTTTTTTAATATTATGTTTATCTCAACATAAACTACACCAAATTATTATTTTTAAATGAAAGACATTCTGTATCCATTTTCATACTCAGCCATATGTGTTAAATAGTAAAATATTTTTGATTGTGAGTATCCAACATGAGCTACTAACATTTTACAAAGTAGTTAAGCCTTTGGAGTACTACCTTTAACAGGATGAAATCTAGCTTGAAACAGTATGTTTAGAAATCCTAAAACTTGAGCGTATGTGCTGCTGGAATGAACACTAAAACTATATCTAAAATTAAGTCCTCCATATATACTATATAGAGCATATTTGATATATTAAAATCTTACGTTGATGACAAAAGCCTGGTTTTGTTTTGTTTTGTTTTGTTCACAAAATACATTCATGGATATTCCTTTGACTCTTTGCAGAGATCATTATAAAACAGAATATGAAAATAAACTACATGATGAACTGGAACAAATCAAGTTGAAAACTAATCAAGAAATTGATCAGCTTCGAAGTGCCTCTAGGGAAATGTATGAAAGAGAAAACAGGTAAAAAAAAAAAAAATAGAGATTGTGTGATAGTTTATTTCTCTTTGCTTGGAAGTTATAGGTTTGTGCAATTAAATACCATTTTTCTGAGATAGTGCTCTAAATATAATTGAAATATGAATATTATAGATAATTTAGCACAGTGTTTGTTAGACTTCAGATATTTTTTTTACTCCAATACTGCCATGATCTCTGTTTTAGTCTTTTTGCCTTTAGGTCAGTTCAGAGTGAGGAAAAGGATAAAAAAGAAATTAAAGTAAGTAATAGGAAAAGACACCAGTAACTTTACTTATAACACATCAACAATTTCTCCTGAAAACTTGAAAATCTGGAATAGTAATATGAAATACTACCTATCTCTTATTTAGCTGCTAATTCTAAAAAATGTTGTATTAGATAATATTGAAATCGTTTGTTCATGGCAGTTTTCTTGGACCAGTATATATGCACTTTGCCTACGCAGAGATTTGGCAGCATTAAAGGAAAACTTGCTAGCTCATTCGGTGGCAGTTGTTGCCACTGACTAAACTTATAGTAATACAGCTTTTGAAAATTTGTATTTCAATGGGACAGTTATGCTGAAATTGACTTGTAATATTGCTTTACTAACATTAGTTTGAGTGTATGAAGTTTTTATTGTTGACAGCAAGACTTTAAACCTGACTTATATACATTGTAATCTTATTTAGTATTGTAATATATAATTCCTATTAGAAGTATACTAGCAGAAAATTTGGGGTTTCCACCCCTCAATTCTAGAAGAAACAGCTGCTGTTTTAATACTGTATTCATAAGATGGCCTATATTGTCAAAAGTACATTTATAGAATTATCCTTTGAGTAGCAAATTGCCCAAGATATTTTTTAAATTGCTGTTAAATTGTTATTTTAATGTGATAAGTTTGGGGAGATTTTTAAGATACTCCTGCTATCATTTTGAGTAGTATGATTTACCCTTTGATTCCTTTTGTGAAAATACTGTTTATGTTGACAAGAGAACAGATATACAATTTATAACATCTTTTTGATATTTTCTTCATATCATACAGTATCCATAAGTTAAGTAAAATATCAGAACATTATTTTCCTCATAAATTTAGCATGCATAGACTTTTATCTGTTTCATCTTAGATTAGCATATCAGTATTATATGCCCAAGGAAATTAATCTAAACTTTACCCTGAACAAAAAGGAAATCATTGATTGTAACATTCAACAAATATTTATTCTCTTTTGCTCCTTCTCTTATTCTTTCTCTTAAGTGATCTTGAGATAATTACAGTCACAATTTAAGATTTATGTTGATGAAGAAAATAGCAAAAAGTTTTGTAATTTACAGATTCTAGTTGACCATTGATTATAGACTAAATAGTGCTGTGGGCAGTGGCAAAGCAAGGCAGAAAATGTAAGTTCAGAGGGAAATTGTATTACAATTCCCTCGTATTACACTGGAATAGTAATATGAAATACTACCTATCTATGGCGTATTACACTGATTTTTTTTTTTTAAGTTTTCCATATTAGGAAAAACACAAACACTTTGGCTGTCCTTACACTTATTCTATTTAATATTTGAATTTCAAATTACAAGGGAGTACGATAATCTTTTCTGTAATTAAGAACTCTGAAATCCTTCATGTATCGAATCCTGAAAAGCTATTTTTCAGGTACCTCAAAGAAATATTGCATCGTTATGTAAATAACAGTTTTAGCTTACTGTGTCATGAGCTGGATGTGGTGGTGCACATCTGTAATCCCAGCACGCGGGAGGTTGAGACAGGAGGATCACCATGAGTTTGAAGCCAGTCTTAGCTACATAATGAGTTCAAGGCCAGCCTGAGCTACATAGTGAGAAACTGTCTCATAAAAGGGAAAAGATGACTGTCAGGAATATTTTCTTTTTGACCTTGTGTATGTTTGCACATATGTGTGTGTAAAACTAACATGTTCAGAAAAAATATTTAAGTATACATTCAATAATTTTAAATACTATTTAATCAACATCAAAATTGAAAGTAGAAAATACAGCACTGCAGAAATGCTCTTGAGACCCTTCCTACTTAACTGCTTCCTTCCCTAAGAGTAACTTCTATTCTATTTATGTTCATAATTTTGCTTTTTTTTAAACTGTGTCATAAGCTTCTGCACAGTATAGGTGATTTTCATACTATATTGTCATCACATGCAAAAGCATATGATGATATTTATGACTTATTTTCCTTGCCTTATAATTTTACAATTCCTTTGCTATTGCAGTTAGCAGTCTATTCATGTTCATGACAGGTATGTTTTTATGAATGTACATGTTTAAGGCAGCAGGAGATTGAAGAGAGATGGATACCGAGATTAATGAATTCCAAAGACATTCTTCATCCTTTGCGAAATTTGCCTGGTCTCAGCCCTGTATTAGGAAAGAAGCATCCTTTTCTTCTGGTCACTTGCTGTAAGGGTTCAAAATGCAGACCAAAATAAGAGATGTATGCCTATTATATGCTGAGCTTTATGCTGGAAAACTTTGCATTCAAGCTCTCCCACAATTCTTAGGGCAGCAAATCCATTTATTTAGCAAATATTTATTGAGACCTACATATGCTAGCAATAATCTAAACGGTATATATAAGTGGTGAACTTTGCCTTCATAAAGCTTATAGTCTAATGGGGGTAAAAATAAGTAGAGAAACAGTTATCGTAAGTATGATGATAACAGAAAATGACTGAATACAAAGGATGAGGTCAACCTGTCTCTGTAATCCTCCCTTAGAGGATTCAGGGAAGACTTCATGGGGGTAGAAATACCCGTACTGACCACTGCTTAGTGACAACAATAAACTAGAGTATGGAAGGGAGGGCACTTGGGAATGAATGTATAATATTTATCAAAATCTGGAGGCAAGACAAGTGTGCAACTTTTTGAACAAAATGAAAATAACTTATTATAGCCAAAGCATAGACTGAGATGCTGGGAATTACAAGAGTTGAAACAGCAGGATAACAGAAGACTGAAGAGTGCATAAGACCTGTGGGATATATGTGAAAGTTTATGGAAGGCACGGACAATCTGGTTTTCTATCAAGAGGTCCCTGCAGTATAGAGGATAGATTGGAAGAGTAAAGCTTATAAACAAAGAAGCCATTTTGGGGGGTTGTTTCCATTGAGACATGATGATGGAACTGAGCTTATAGTAACTGAGGCAGGAAGAAATGGGCCAGTTTTGAAAAGTGTAGGAGAAAGACCAAACAAGAGGCGATGACTAAGTAGGGCAGAGGAAGGGCAAGAAGATAAGGTTGTTAGGTTTTGGTTGGACAGCCACATGGATGGTGATTATGGTGGTGTTGTTGCTGCTGTTGTTGAGGCATTGGAAATTAAACACAGACCTTTACCCTGAGCTGCTTCCACTCTGCTTTTTAAAATGGGGTCTCAGTTACTAAGTTGCCCAGACTGAGCTCATACTTAACGATCCCCTAGCCTCATCTTCTAAATACAAGGTGATAAATGTAGTTTAATTCTATTGATCTATGGGATGTCCAAGTGGAAAATATGTCTGTATAAGATTATGCATTCTTCAGAAAGATCTGATCATGAAAGAGACCTATGACATGGTAATACCATTTCTCTTTTATAGATTACTACTGTTCTCTTGTTCAGTTCTGTTATGGATTTTACGGACTTTTGTTAACTGATCTAACTGAAATGCATAGGATTATTTGGTGTAAAATGTATGATTATTCATTAACAATCCATATAGCATTGTAAACTTCGCTATGTATTCATTTTGAGAATTTCCTCATTTTTACTTGCTCAAAAAAAAAGGGATCTTTTAAAATGTGCCTATCATAAAATAAATTTAGATCTATTAGCCCTTCTTCTCCAAGTTGATTAGTGGAGATAGGTTGGTCAAGCTGTATGGAAAACAGCCAACAGAGGCATGTCTAGAAGCAGGAAAGCTGAAAGCAGATTTCCCTGTCTCCAGGCTTGTTATGGCCCCAAATCCACAATAAGATAGACATCTGCCTTGGAGATTCCTGGGGTTGCCTTGACTCTGGAGGCCCCAGCTGCAGGCGTAGAACTGAGCCCAGGCATCTTCACCCCAGCACAGACAGTTGCCACCAGGTGGTGCCAGACTCCAGCCTGAGCCCACTCCCACACAGTGCTGAGCCTGCCATTGACAAGCTGACTGCTGTTAACTTCACAGTAAGTCCAAACTTGTATTTTGTATGACTGAATCTTTTTGGATCATAGTTTCTGCATTATTTTATATTTGAACTACAGTTAGAACTTATGTATCTCTAGGCCCTCCAAAGGAAAAAATTTAAGTTTAAAATTTTTCTTTTGAAATTTTACAATTTAGTATAGTTGAAAAAATGTCTTGAGTATTCTGTTATACAGAATATAAAATTCATAGCAAGTTTGTGTGTGTGTGTGTGATTTAACCTGTTGCTTTGAATTTAGATATATAATTGTATCCATTGTATCTCATCAAAGTGTGCTATTACTGTAGGAGATAAAATGGAAGAACTACTTATACTTGCATATTTGTACTTAGTTCCTTTTCTGTCTCTCCAGTAAACATTTTTAGAAGACAGTAAAACGGTTAGATTAGAGAAATATATTTTGCCTTTAGTTTGCTTTCTGTACATTAGAAGTTAGCAAGAGAATGCCTTTTATTTCCTCTTGAATGAAGAAAAGGCAGATGGAACTAACACCATCTGATCTTGGTGTGTGACCTTGTACTCATTTCAGTAGTTTTTGAAATTAAGGAGTTGAGAAAAGAGGGAGAGTGTAGAAGATAGATTTAAGAAAGAGAGAGGTAGGCAGGCATCACCATGCCTGTAATCCCCTCACTGCGGGAGCCTGAGGCAGAAGGATGGCAGGTTCAAGGCCAGCCTGGGCAATTTAGCAAGATTTCAGAATTTTAAAATGCAGCTCAGCATTAGGACCCTGGGTTCTGTGGGCTCGAAGGAAATGGGAAACTTGGATATTTGGATATATTAAAAAAAAAAA